GCCTCAAACTTGGGATCTTTCTGCTTCAGCCTCCTCAGTGTCAGGATTACAGATATGCACTAGTCATAGCAGGTTCACAATATTCTTTTTGACATATATATTTTTAAGTGTCACTCAAATGGTAGTTTATATTGTAGCTGTTGTAATATATACTACATTACTTTTGTACATGATGGTTCACAACCACAAATTTATTTTTAATCAGTAAATGTCATAAATATATGTGATATTAAAGCTGGGGATATAGCTCAGTTGGTAGAGTGCTTGCTTTGCATGCACAAGGCCCTGGGTTCAATCCCCAGCACCACACACACACAAAATTAAAAAAATAAAAAATAAATATATGTGATATTAAAGCCTTTATTAATGGAATTTTAAAATGAATGAAGTTTTGGGCCTTCTCTTAGAAGCCATCTAATCCAGAGCCTCAGGTTTGAATATCTCTCTCTATGTTATTAAGATAATGGGTTTGCATCTTCAGCCCCTTTTAAACTTCATAACCAAATGCCCATTAGACATTGCCTTTGGGTAATTGCTGATGTCTACGTCTGAGCCCTTGATTTCTTTGCTTCACTCCTTTCAGAATCCATTTATTCTCATTTCAGTAATTACTCATGCCAGAAACGTGGAGATATTCTTGACCCCTTACTCTTCTTGACCCCCACATCTAATCCATTACCAAGCACTATCAAGTCTGTTTTTGAAGTTTTTGTGAGTTCATCTTCTGTACTACCACTACCCTAATCCTAACCACTATTGTTACTCTCAAATTTCTACAGTATTCTTACTGATCTTTTTCATTTACTTGTACCCTCTTTATTGATTTCATTACATAGAAATCAGATGGTTGTCTCCTGTCCCACTTATGTTCAAATCTCAAACCTTTCATTAGGCTCTTGACCTGTCCTTGTCTTTTCTGTTTCTTCCACTTCATCTCTTACTACAATATACCTTATTCTCAATCTTTCAGGAAAATTGTTTTCTCTTTGCTTTTCTTTGTCCCAAGATCTTTCCTCCACAGGCTGTTCTCTGTGCCCAGAATCCCCTTATTTCCAATTCTTCACTTGGCTAACTTTTCATTCTTCAGATGGCAACTTAAATGTTATTTCTTAGCATTGCTTCCACTGGCCCTTTCATCAAGACTAGACCAGGACCCTCTAGGATTGACAGTTTTTTTTTTTTTTTTTTTTTTGGCACTTACCCCAAATTATGAGTACATTTTGTTTGAGTTTTCTTGTTCTATTCAGAATGTCTTTATTAACTTGCTTAATGACTATGAAATTTATGCAGACTTCTCAGTTTTGCTGTCATCACTATATTCTTGATATTTAATATAGAATCTTGCATAAAACAGGGACTTAATAATTAGGTAGTAAATTAATATTCAATGACAATAGTGAATGGGAGAAAAATCTTTACCACATGCACCTCAGATAGAGTATTAATCTCCAGGATATATAAAAAACTCAAAAAACTTAACACCAACAAAACCCCCAAATGACCCAATCAATAAGTAGGCTAAGGAACTGAATAGACACTTCACAGAATTGATCAACAAATATATGAAAAAATGTTCAACATCTCTAACAATTAGAGAAATGAAAATCAGAACTAAGATTTCATTTCACTCTAGTCAGAATGGAAATCATCAAGAATACAAGCAACAATAAATGTTGGTGAGGATATACTCACACATTGCTGGTGGGACTGCAAATTGGTGCAACCACTCTGGAAAGCAGTATGGAGATTCCTCAGAATGAAACCACCAATTGACCCAGTTATCCCACTCCTCAGTTTATACCCAAAGGACTTAAAATCGGTATACTACAATAACACAGCCACATCAATGTTTATAGCTGCTCAATTTACAGTAGCTAAGTTATAGAACCAACCTAGGTGCCCTTTTAACAGGTGAATAGATAAAGAAACTCTGGTGTATATACACAATGGAATATACTCGCCTTAAAGAAGAATTAAATTATGGCATTTGCCACTAAATGGATGAAACTGGAGAATATCATGCTAAGTGAAAGAAGCCAATCCCCAAAAACCAAAGGCTGAATGTTTTCTCTGATATAAGGATGCTAATTCACAATGAGGGGTGGGCAGAATAGTGGTATTTTGGACTAAACAGAGGGGAGTGAAAGGAGGGAAGGAAGGGACTATGGGGGTAGGAATGATAGTAGAATGAATCGAGCATATATGATTACATGACCTGTGTAACTCTACATCATGTACAACCAGAAGAATGAGAAGTTATATTCCATTTATGTATGATGTGTCAAAATCCATTATACTGTCATGTGTAACTAAATATTCAATGGCAAGAACTCTGTTTACAAAGGACATTAGTATTGGAAATACTCTAATCAATGATTTAATTAGTCTAATCTCCCTTTCTATCATGTTCCTTGTGGCCTTGATGAAGGTGTGTGCAAACTTTGTTCCTTTTATACTCTGTAAGGACTCTTGATTCTTTCAGTTGTATTTCAAACGAGTAGTTTCTGTATCCTTTGTCATTCTTTTCTTTAGAGGCTAATCAGATAGAATAAAATAAGGTGATTACTATCATTGACTTTAACAGTATGTTTCTACAGATGCTTGGTGTAGGATTGCATTCATGTCTTAGCAGTTGTAAGTGCAGATGTATTGAACTTATAGTTGGCTAAGATTTGATGGCTGTTCTCCATACAAGTTATCACAGGTGTTTTATTCTCAAAGATGGAATTGACATGGATAGTACAGGTATATCCTTGTAGTAGGTTGGCAAGTATGTCACTAATACATATGAGAGGAAGGAACTTTTATTGAGTTACCTGCTCTGTTCCACATAATCTTAAATTCTTTATAATGTATATTTTACATTACATACATTAAATATCCAACAGAGCAGTGCCAATACAGGGTAACACTTAATGTGTAGAATGAGTAATCTGATCTCTTGAATTTTAATCCTGCCTGTGTGATCTTTGTAAATTCCTCAAAATCTACTTGACTGTTCTTCATCTGTAAAGTTAAAATAATAATTGTACCTTTCTTATAAGATAGTCATGATAATTCTATAAGTTGATATTTGCAAAGCATTTATAATGGTTTTGACACGTAGTGGTGAATATGTATAAGCCATTATCTCATTCAATTCTTAAAATAACTGTGTCCTAGTATCATTTTAGTTATAAAGATGAGGAAACCCATTAGAGAGGTTATGTTAGTTACTTAAGGCAGATCCAGGATTTGAAATTATGTCAGGGCATATGAAAAAATGTTCAACATCTTTAGCAATTAGAGAAATGAAAATCAGAATTAAGATTTCATCTCACTCTAGTCAGAATGGAACTCATCAAGAATACAAGCAACAATAGATGTTGGTGAGGATATACTCAAAAATTGCTGGTGGGACTGCAAATTGGTGCAACCACTCTGGAAAGCAGTATGGAGGGTCAGAGACATTTATGTGGAATGAATTGCACACAGATCCTTTTCTCTAAAAGGGACTGTGTAGCAAGTACATGAGACTCTCATAGACTGCTCTGTAGGATGTTTTACTAGCTCTAGTGAACCAGAGTTACATATTGGCTTTAAATAAACTGGTGAAGGCACAGTGACACTTAAAGATGTAACAAGTCATAGCAATCAGTGTCCTGCCCAGGACTATGAGCTCCTTGAAGCAGAAACTGACATACTCATATTTGTATTTCTAGTACCTTACATTGGTCTGTACTATGTATGTAGCAGATGTTAGTGAATAAGTGAATGGATGAATAAGTAAGTGGAAGTATGGAAGAGTGGGAGGCAAAAATGAGGCCAGAGTTTTTTGGCATGGTGATAGAAGAGAGGGAGAGAAAAGTGCCATCTTTTAAATGTGGTAGCACATAGGGCTCAAACTGTCTGAACCAATATAATGCTCCAAAACTAGAATTGTATTTATCATGATGTAGACTAGCCATTTTTTCATAATACTTTTATGCTAAAGATTGAACCCTAGGCAAGCACTCTACCACTGAGCTACAGCCCCAGCCCCCTGTTCTATTTAATTATTTTATTTTAAGGTCTGTAAGAGTTCACTGTGTATAATAATAATAGCCAGACCTTAACCAGAAAGGTTATCTTAGCTTTTCCCTAGTAAAAGCTCACTTTTATCCTAATCAAGTCAGATTTGCAGTGTTTTTTAGGAAAATGATTTAAGATGTATTTGTTTTTGCTTTCATAATGATGCATGCTGCTTATTTAATTATGTGTAATTTTCTAGACAGTCTTTCTTTTCTATATGGAATAAATTAATAGAAAGATTCAAAGTGTTTTTTATTGTTTCCACAGGATTTGAATGAGTATTAATGAATATCTTATACTTTTTAACATTTTCTGTTTTATTCTTAATATATTTAGGAATTTTCTTGGTAGTAATAAAATAACTTAATTACTTTGGAGTAGCCAGAATAGACTGTTAAGGTTTTTTTCATTTTCTTTAGAGCTGGAATCTTGCTATATTGTTCAGATATGCCTCAAACTCTTGAACTCAAGCAGTCCTCCTGCTTCAGCATCCCAAATGACTGGACTGCAGGTGTATGACACTGCTCCACCTTTTGAAATTAATGTATTTCTCTTGTTTTACATATGGCTGATCTGTGGTCAGGAGAAATTGCAAACTGTTGCTAAGTTATTTAAGCATGGAATTATAGTGCTTTGTTTTTTTGTGTGTGTGCCTGTGTTTTTTTAATATTATTTTTTAGTTTTAAAAAATTTTATTTCACTTGTTTATTTTTTTATATGATGCTGAGGATTGAACCTAGAGTCTCACACGCGCTAGGTGAGTGCTCTACTGCTGAGCTACAACCCCAGCCCTGTGCCTGTGTTTTTTAAAATATGGATAGTGTTGACCTTTTAAAATGTATTTTATCATTTAAAAGTATGTTTGGATATTTGTTTTCCTCTCTTAGTTTTTGAAAACTTTTCAAAATTCAGTTATATTCATTGCCTTGTTAATATTTTTTGTCTTTCAGGAGTGAGGAAAAAGCAATAAGAGGTGGAGTCATTGTCAAGTGGTTGTGGCCTTCTACAAGAAATCTCATTGAGTAAAGGCTTTTGCGTTAGCGAAATAATAGGACCGGTTATTCAAGGTGACAGTATAACAGAAAACATTAAAATTGAACAATGACTCGACTATATATTTACATTAGATTATTGGGAACCTATCTGTTCATCATTTCTCATGTTCAAGGTAAATTGATCTTTATTTCTGACTTAAAAAGCACTTAATTCTTTCATCTGTTCTCTCAGCCCATGTCCCTTTCTGATCAGCTAAGCCCATCATACTAGCATAGTTTTTAAGTAAAAAGGCAAAGAACAAACACACCAAATAATTTTTTGAGCTTGATTATGATAGAAGGCTGTCCAGATATTTTAAAATCTCAGCCTTTCTCAACCTATTTTCTTGTCCGTATAAGGCATTATGATATACAATATTAAGTCTTATGAGTATTTAATGAGATAAAGTATATGAAGCATGTAACTTAGAATCTAAAACACAGGGTGATAGATAATCAAGACTGTTCAAAACCTTATCTCCCTTAAAATACAATAAGGAATAAATGTAAATAATAATTAAAAATTTATTTTATTGTCACTAAAAATCTTCAGAAATATAAATGTCATTTGCCTATGCTAAATACTAAAATTTCTTCATAGAGTCTTGAAACTTTATTTATGACCAGTGTTGTAATTTTACTTCTGTGTGCTCATAGCTTAGAATTCCCAAATCGGAAGTTATTATGACGATTTAGGATTAAATAGACTATATTTGCACAAGAGTTTTTTTCCTGAATGCTTTAATTAGGGTAATATTTTAAACTGAAGAGATAGTACTGCTTTACAAAAGGATTTTAGATAGAACTTATTGACATCTTTATTTTCTTAAGGTTTTGACTTCACAGATTGCTCTTTCATAATGTTTGTTCAAGGACATGGATTAATATCTACCCACAAGAAGAAGCATTGTTAACAGCATAAAGCTTTTTATATTTTTGTTTTAAAGCACAAAATGAAATCTGCACTTCTTTGTATTTTGCCTTAGGTATAATAGAGTAACCTTATTATTACCATGCTAAGAATATAGAGCCCTCTTGCAAAAGCCACTTTGATACAGCACCTTTATTTGAATATCTGTTATATATGCCTTGTTGATTGATATCAACCAAAGCTATCATAGTTGTAAAGAGAAGGAGTCAAATTAATAGTATCATTAATATTTACTGCCTCACTTCTAAGGTAAATTCCACTTTGTTATAAAGAGTTTTAAATCTACTTAGCTCACATATTGGCAAAAGGTATAAAATTCTCATTCTACATCCCAATTCAAGTTAATTCTAAAGTAAAATTATTGGGTGGAGTAACTTGCTAATTAGTTATCAGATATAAGCAAAAAATCACGTTTCTAGATGGACGCCATGTACACACCTGTAATCCCCTGCTACTTGGGAAGCTGGCCTGGATAACTTAGCAAGGCCCTGTCTCAAAATAAAAAATAAGGACTGGGGGTGTAGCTCAATTTTAGAGCACTCCTAGGTTTGTTCAAACATTACTACCAAGAGAAAGAGCTTGGGATGGGGGGGGGGTTACATTTCTCTGATAAAGAACAAAATTTATACTATTTTCTTTCTGAAAATTACCTTGATAGTTGTTTCACATGATAACATGTACAAAAAAATTGCTCTTGAAAAAAAAATTAGAACCAATGTAGAAAAAAATGTTACTTCTTAGAGAAAACTATGAAGGATTACAAGATTCATTGATAAACTGTGACTTTAGCTCTGGCTTTATCTTGAATTGTGTCTGAGGAAAGTAAATTTCTCTGTACCTTCATTTCCTTGTGATAAAATAGAAATAATAATACTTATCCTAGATAGAAATAGGATGTTTTGAGCATCAGATGTTATGATATGTATTTAAGTGTTTTCCATTCATAGTTGTTTGTATTTTAATAGAAAAATGAGTCAGCTGATAAATACCTGAGGCATTTATTTACTTATATATTTGGACTTGATCAGAAATGTTAGAAATGAATTTTAGTGTTCAGTAATTGATTACCCAACTAACAGTGACATAAATAAGTAAGGATTTATATTTAAGATAGGTGACAGGAAAAAAAAAAGATAGGTGATAGGTATTTGCTGGTGTTTGGTCAATAATTGAGTAGAGCTGAGGTTGCCATCTCTGTAATTTTCTTGGCATTTCCTTCATGGCCAGAAAATGGCTGCTGTTATCTACATTTGAGGCAGAAAACTGGGGAAAGAGTCAGCTCCTGTTTTAGTGTGGGACTTGTAATATCAGGAAAGTCAAAATACCCCCTGCCAATAGATTTTATCTCAAACTAAGATGGTTGATCTTTCCGAATTTCAAGGAATATTAGAAAACAAGGTTAACAGGATTATTACAGTTAGCTTAGGTTAATCTATATTTGTTACCTTAGGCTGGACACACTGCCTCCCCTCACCCACTGAGCAAAATCAGTTTGGTTAGTTAGAAAAAAGGGGAAAATGTATTATCATACATGAAGAAGTTTGGAGATAGGTGGATTGCCTTTAGCTAATTCTGTGGCTCATCAAGAGCCAAGTTTAATTCCCATTTCACTTGTACCATCTACCACATCTCAGTTTAGCCATGGGTTAACTTATTTGACAGCCACAGTGTAGCATCTGAGGAACAGGTATCACATTCAGACGTGGCAAGTTAGAGTTGACTGGTGTTTATTGAAAGAAGAGGGATAGGTATCCTTTCCTGTGTCTGTCTTTCTTTTAAAAAATATTTTTAGTTATAGTTGGATAGAATGCCTCTATTTTTCACGTGATGCTGAGGATTGAACCCAGTGGCTCACATGTGCTCGGCAAGTGCTCTACCACTGAGCCACAACCCCAGCCCCCTTCCTTTTGCTTAAAGTAGTAAAGAAATCGTTTCCCAGGAATTCCTCTCCCTCAAAAAACTATTTTCTAATCTAGGTGATTAGAATTAATTACATACTCTGGTATAAACAAAAAACTGGCAAGGGGAATAGAACTGAAATTGTTGGATTAAACCAACAGTTATTGATGCTGAGGGGAGAGCTATGATTCCTTGAATTACATGTAGGAAGAGGCAGACATTTCAATCAAAAAATGGGTTGCGGGGCTGGAATTGTGGCTCAGTGATAGAGCGCTTGCCTTGCACATGTGAGGCACTGGTTCAATTCTCAGCATCACATAAAAATAAATAAACATAATAGGGTATTGTGTGTCCATTTACAACTAAACAAAATATTTTTTAAAAAAGTGGGTTGTGTGAGCGGCACATCTTGCTAATAAAATAAAAGGGAGAAAAATAGCCATGCTAAACCCAAGGCCAACATTATTCTAAATGCAAAAAATTGAAAACATTCCAAGAACTGGTATAAGACGAGGATGCCCCTTTCACCACTTTATTCATCATCTTGGAAACTCTAGCCAGAAGAAGGAAATTAAAGGGACATGAGTAGAAAAAGAAGAACTCAAACTACCACTGTTTGCCAGTGACATGATTCTATATTTATAGAAGATCCAAAAAATTCCACCAGAAAACTTCTGAAACTAATATCATTTCAGCAAAGTAACAGGACATAAAATTAACACCCATAAATCAAATGTGTTGCTATATATCAATGATGAATCCTCTAAAAGAGAAATTAGGAAAACTACCCCATTCACAATAGCCTAAACAAATAAAAATAAATAAAAAATTCAGGCATCATTTCAACAAAAGAGGTGGGGAAAAAAAAAAAACCCTCTACAATGAAAACTACAGAATACTAAAGAAAGAAATTGAAGAAGACCTTAGAAGATAGAAAGATCTCCCACGCTCTTGGATAGGCAGAATTAACACTGTCAAAATGGCCATACTACCAAAAGCATTTTGTGCAATTCCTATTAAAATCCTAATTACAGGGGGCTGGGGATGTGGCTCAAGCAGTAGCGCGCTCGCCTGGCATGCGTGTGGCCTGGGTTCGATCCTCAGCACCACATACGAACAAAGATGTTGTGTCCGCCGACAACTTAAAAAAAAAAAATTCTCTCTCTCTCTCTCTCTCTCTCTTAAAAAAAAAATCCCAATTACATTCTTCACAGAAATAGGAAAAACAATAATAAAATTCATTTGGAAAAATATGAGATCCAGAATAGCAAAGCAATTCTTAGTAAAGAAGTGAAGGAGGCATCATAATACCAGAGCCATAGTAACAAAAATGGCATGGTACTTAGACCAGTGGTACAGAATAAAAGACAGACAAACCCATATAAATACAGTTATTCATACTAGATAAACGTGCCAAAAACATACATTGGAGAAAAAGATAGCCTCGACAACAAATGGTGCTGGGAAAACTGGAAATCCGTAGGTAGCAAAATGAAATTAAACCCCTGTCTCTCACCCTGCACAAAACTCAACTCAAAGTTGATCAAGGACTTGGGCACTAGAACAGAGACTCTGCACCTAATTGAAGAAAAAGTAGGCCCAGATCTTCACCATGTCAGCTTAGGAAATAACTTCCTTAACAAGACTCCTAAAGTGCAAGAAGTAAAATCAAAAATCAGTAAATAGGAGGGAATCAAACTAAATAGCTTCTTCACAGCAAAGAAAACAATCAATAATGTGAAGAAAGCCTACAGAATGGGGGAAAATATTTACCACATCCATCTCAGAACATTAATCTCCAGGGTATATAAAGAACTCAAAAGGCTGGGGATGTAGCTCAGTTGGTAGTATGTTTGCCTTGCATGCAGAAGGCCCTGGATTCAGTCCCCAGCACCACACACCCCTCAACATCACCAAAACCCAAATGACCCAGTCAACAAATAGAGTAAGGAAATGAACAGACACTTCAGAAGAAGAAATACAATTGATCAACAAATATATGAAAAAATGTTCAACATCTCTAGCAATTAGAGAAATGAAAATCAAAACTTAAGATTTCATCTCACTCTAGTCAGAATGGTAGTCTTCAAGAATTCAGGCAACAATAAATGTTGGTGAGGATGTGGGAAAAAAGGTAACTCATACATTACTGGTAGGACGGCAAATTGGTGCAACCACTCTGGAAAGCAGTGTGGAGATTCCTCAGAACACCTGGAATGAAGCCACCATGTGACCCAGTTATCCTGATCCTCAGTTTATACCCAAAGAACTTAAAATTGGCATACTATAGTGACACAGCCACATCAATGTTTATAGCTGCTCAATTCACAATAGCTAAGCTATAGAACCAACCTAGGTGCCCTTCAGTAGGTGAATGGATAAAGAAACTCTGGTATATATACACAGTGGAATATTACTCAGCCTTAAGGAAGAATAAAATTATAGCCTTTGCCACTAAGTGGATGGATCTGGAGAATATCATAGTAAGTGAAATAAGCCAATCCCAAACAGCCAAAGGCTGAATTTTTTCTCTGATATGCAGATGCTAATTTACAATGGGGGGAGGTGCTAGAGAAGTATAGAGGTACTTTGGAAGAGGGCAGGGAAGGAAAGGAGGGAGTATGGGGTAGGAATGATAGTAGAACGAATTGGACATTATTACTGTATGTACCTATATGATTACATGACCTATGTAATTCTACATCTTGTACAACCACAAGAATGAGAAGTTATACTCCATTTATATATGATGTGTCAAAATGCACTCTACCATCATGTATAACTAATTAGAACAAATTTTTAAAAAGAAGGGAGAAGAATAACTTACAGATACGTTTCAGGGCACTAGATTTGTCTATTGTCATACGTAGCTTTATAGCACATACTAAAAAATGCTTATGTTCATATGAAATGCTTAATTCCTCCTCAACAGGATATATGCTCCAGAGTTTAGCCCACTTAGTGCACTCAGACACTAACCCAGGACTTCTGGACAGTAATTCTTCAGATCCAGGTGTGCTGTTCATGGTGCAGCAACGTGAGACTGAAAAAAAAATTATTTATGTGCAATGTACTTAGTATGCATTGATGAAGAAAAGTAGGTTTAAATACTAGATGAACTTCCAAAGGAAGGAAAATTTGGAAACAACTAAAGTAATCATTGTTCCCTAGTACATAGATGGAGGATGATTGTTAGGCTATCTGACAACCTCCAATTTTGTTTCTGGGAAAATTTTCCTTGTCTCTGGTCTTCCTTCACTAGTGTTCCTGCCTTCATGGCCATATCTAAGATGTACTTAGTGAAGGATGGTCTTTATGAAGAGTGAGTAGCTTTGGCAGCCTGTTTCTTGTTAATAGCTTTGGCAGCCAAGTTTCTTGCAACTTGGAGATCTAGTTGCTAGAAAGTGCCTTACAGATAGAAAACTCACAGCCTAAGTCAGCTGACCATTGGGATATCTTTGACAATGTACTTCCACCATTTGCATCTTGTGTCTTTGCATTAAATACAGTTAAATCTTGCCTAGATGTGGTATTCTGAGACTTCCTGACTTCTTAACCATTTACCTTTGCCTTACCTCTTCTCTTGGCCCTTGATTTAATGATCTTATTCTGAATCACTCTTTTCTTTTCTCATGCTAGAAAGTGAGTCCACTTTATTTGGTGTCATAGCATTTTCTATGAATAAATATTAAAATAGTACTAATTATTATCTTGGTTTTTATTCTCATTTTCCATCTAAGACTATGAACTCTAATGGAAAAGGGACTTTGGTTTTGTTTACCGTTGTAGTCAACAGGACTTAAAATTGTAATTACTTCAGACATTTTTCACCTAATAAATGAATGCAGTTTGTGGGGGCAGGGGTGGGGGTGTTGTAGAATTCTTTTTTTAGCCAGTTATTTTTAGAGTGATTGACAACCTAATAGCAACAAATATCTGTAACAACAGAGTATGGTCTCTGATTATCTTTTTCCACTGGAAAGATCTAGGAGTCCTTGGAGAAATTGTTTATTTTAAGTCTGTCAGGGAAATATGAGGTGATTTTAGAAGATCTTGGCCAACAGAAACCTCAGAGGATATGGGGACCAGTTTGAATTGGCCAGAGATGGAACAATGAGCATTAGTAAGGATAGTAACTGCAGTGGTTTAAATCTATGGTTTTATAATGACACTTAAAACAACAACAACAACAAACAAAACCAACTGGTTACTGTTGAAGGATGCTAATAAATTTATTAACTTTGAAAACTGATAGAGGGACAAATCAAGCACTAATCATGCCTTTCTTATAGGAACTGTACAGCTTGTACCCAGGTTAGTAAATGAGGGAAAACTTTTCATTATACAGGTATTATAGGTCATAAGTAAGAAGAAATGACGGGCTACTCTTTTTTTTTTTTTTTTTTAACTATCCCCATTGAAGTAATGAATCTAGGTCTTGAAAATAGAGATAAGCAGATATTTGTGTCCCTCTTTTCCACAACTTACCAAGTAGCCATATTTCAGGTACTTAGGAGCCATGTGTGGCTAGTGGCTATTATACTGGATAGCATGGCTCTTGATCTAACTACCACATGCAGAAACCTATTTTATGGGCAAGAAGGATACAGATAGAAAATCTAAATTCTGGTATATTCTATAGGACAAACAATCCAGTTTCTTCAAGGAAAGAAAGAATTTGAAGATTAAAAGAAACATGGAGTTGGAGGGTAGGGGAGTAGCTCAGTGGTAGATAACCTGCTTTGCATGCATAAGGTCCAGAGTTTCATCCAAGGCGCTCACAGAGAAAGACACATACACAGAGGCACAGACAGACTTGCAGACAATCTGTTATGATGTGTGAATTGTGAACTTTATAAACTTTAAAACAGGTTATAACATATTCAATACAATTAAAAACTTGAATACTGCCTGGTTGTTTGATATTGGACAAAGAATCAAATTACTGTCAATTTTTTTTAGAAGTGATAATGGTATCATAATTGGTTTGTTTTGTTTGTACTGGGGATTGAACCCAGGGGTGCTTAACCACTGAGCCATATCCTCAGGCCTTTGGTGATTTTTATTTAGAGACTGGGTCTCACTGAGTTGCTCAGGGCTTTGCTAAGTTGCTGAGGCTAGCTTTGAACTCACAATCCTGTCTGAGCTTCCCAGGCTGCTGGGATTATAGGTGTGTGCCACCATGACTGGCTTCATGATTGTTTTTTTTTTTTTTTAAGTCTTCATCTTCTAGAGATGTGTTGAAATATTTACAAATAAAATGACATATCTGGCATTAGCTTCCTAATTTATATGAACTGGAAAGAGAAATAACAGAAGCATTGCCATTTTATTACAGTATTTATTTCTGAAAGGAGAGTGGTGGTGAGGGGGCTGAGTAGGGTGTGTGTGTGTGTGTGTATGTGTGTGTGTATACCTCCAACTCCTTTTTTTTGTTAAAGTAGTTTCCTCTCCTGGTGTTTGTTTCTATGAATATTCATTCAGTAGTGCATTCCTTTACTAAATTTCAGCATAAAAAGTTAAGATTATTCAAATTCAGAGTATAAAGAGACTAAAACACTACTTCTTTGGTACTGGGGATTGATCCCAGAACCTTGCATGTGAGCACTCTACTGCTGAGTATATCCCCAACTCATTTTAATTTTTTGTATTGAGACAGGATCTTTCCAAGTTTCCCAGACTGGCTTTGAACTTGATCCTTTTGCCTCAGCCCTTCAAGTAGCTGGGATTGTAGACATGCACCATCACCCTTGGCTACTAAAATACCTTTTTTTTTTTTTATTGGTTGTTCAAAACATTACAGTGCTCTTGACATATCATATTTCATACATTTGATTCAAGTGTAAAAATACTTATTTTAACAGCACTTTCTTTTCTATCATTGTTCATTGAGTATGTGTGTATTATTGGGGTTTTTTTTTTTAATCTTTTAGTGATTCATTTTATCATTATGGCTAAATTCAAAGTCAGGTCCACATTTTGAATCACTTATTTAAGATTCATAACAAAATTCACACATACTTCTCTTATCTGTTTGACTCTACCTTTCATTCTTTTGAGAACAACGCACAAGAAATGGCTTAGTAATTTCAGCTGGTTGAGAAGGAGGAAGGAATATTAAAACAGATGTTTGCTTTCTATTCTGCTTCCAGCCTAAAACATTCAGGACCACATATGACAGTATCTGTCATTTGAGGCCACTAGACTCTAATGCAAGAATCCAGTTCTATTTCCATGAGCTGACTATTGACCTGTAGTAATCTTCAGTTTCTGGCAGCCTGGTCTGGATTTGAACCAATGACCTTGAGATGAAAGGCCCCGGATAACTCAGTTGGTCCCCAGCTCTCACAGTTTTCTTACTTAAGCAAATGGAGTCCAAAACAAGATGCTTAGTAACTCCCTTCACAAAGAGGCACAAATAAAGAACCTTTTTTTTTAATTACAAGTTTTGAAAGAAAAGGAAGGGCCATACTTTGTCTATTTTTTAGTGATTGAAAATGACCTCAGCCTTCCCTAAAGTCTCTTACCATTTTGTACCTTTTTTACAAGTTAAAACTAAATTCTGTTGTCATTCAGTTCATATTGAATTCATGCTGTGTTGTTCTTGTTTGTCTTTGATTAGTGTAAAACATGTAACATAGTCATCTCATATAGGTCACAGTACATGGAACATTCTGTGCATGAGTTTATTAACAAATGTCTGTTAATTGTATGAGTGAAATTTATTTTTTAATTAAAGAAATACATTCATTGCAATTGTTGTAATAGAAAAGTACAGAAACTTACCTCAATGAAAATGGTAATAATATAGCCTATCAGAAATGATTTATTTAAAAATTGAATATTTGAATATAGGACAGAATCTAGACAGTATGCTCCATGGCACTGGGATGAAATCAGACTCCGACCAGAAGAAGTCAGAAAATGGAGTGACATTAGCACCAGAGGATACCTTGCCTTTTTTAAAGTGCTATTGCTCAGGACACTGCCCAGATGATGCTATTAATAACACATGCATGTAAGTATTTGGTGCTGTCCTTAAGAGTTTGGAAAAGTGCATCTAATGCTGTTTTAAAAAATAGTTAAAATTGAGTTTTTTTTCTTTATATATAATATCTTTCAAAGAGCCAAATTTTCTTGTTTTGAATATAGGAACATTGTTCTTACTAAGTGATTGATGATTGTTTTATTAGAGCTATACCATAATATAGCTTTTTAAAGGAGATAAAAGAAATATAGTATTTGTCTAACATTTTAATGATCTTTTTTATTATAAAATTAATGATACTCATTGTAGAAAACTGTTTCTTTTTTAGTAGATTACCAAAAAGAAACCAAATAATTTTACCCATGACTTCCTGCTTCTTAATTGGTTGAAATATTTTATAGATATGTAAGAATGATATTCAATCCATATCACTTTCTTACTTAATTTTATGTTAATTGTTCAGTATGTTTATATATGATCTTGTAATTCCATTCCATATTTTTGGGGGAGCATTGAAGAATTGACTTACTGGACAAAGTAAAAATGTCCTGAACAACTGTTTCATTAGTCTTATTAATGGTCTCCCTGTTATATAGGTAATAAGTAAGGTCATGTTTTGTACTTCCCTAATAATCATATGCTCTTTGAGCAGACTAGATATAAAGCATAAAACTTGACCCATGAAATTTTGAAATCATATGATAGTTCATTTTAGATTTGCCATCAGTTCTCCAGTGGTAGTTGACTTAATCATAGTAATCTACATGTAGACCACTTCCCAATTTACATCTTCTTGGGAATTTTGTTTGTAAGGGAATGCTCTATTCTATGTTAACAAATAATTTTTTTTGCCAAACTCTATGTCTATGGTACCTCCCTGATAGGATGGGCTATAATTTGTTAGTGGCTTAGTAACCCAGTGTAAAACTGATCATCAATTTTAACAGAAGTTTACACCACACATACCATCTTCTCAATAGAAAAGGAAGAAATGAAGAATTCTGCACTGGGGATGTAGCTCAGTTGGTAGAGTGTTTTCCTCGAATGAGAACATTTTCATTAAATAAAAATTTATTTCTGTAAATTTCTTGAAAATTAAACTATTCAAAAATTCTTCCAGTGTTCCTATCACATTTAGTAAGAAAAATGCCTTTCAGAATCTTTGTCCATCTGTTCTTCCTGTATACACTTTTCTTTGTCCTTGAGTCTGTTTGTAGTTTTACAGAAAAGCTTTTTATTTATTTTCATGCATAGTTTAAAAATGCTGAAATATTAGCAGTAAAAAAGAGGTTTTAAGTATATTTCTGAAAGATTAACACTTGTATAGAATTTTATACATCAGGTTTCTGTGATCCCATGACTGAGAAGTTACATGACAATGCACATTTAGAGGACTTGTTTGGCAGAAATCCTTTTCTGCTTGACATAGGGTTCTCATTTACCCCTTTAGATTATAGTTCAGACATAACTTTCATTTGTCTTAAAGTCTATTTTGTTCTGCTAATAAATCACATGTGAATATAATCCCGATTCAGAAACAGAATACTAAGGGCTAAGAGTATCTGTTCACATTCAAACTCAGATTTCATTAGGATTTTATGATTTGGAGTTAAATGGTTTTTTTGTTTTTCTCTTAGAACTAATGGTCATTGCTTTGCCATCATAGAAGAAGATGATCAGGGAGAAACCACATTAGCTTCAGGATGTATGAAATATGAAGGATCTGATTTTCAGTGCAAGGTAAGATCTAATTGGAAATCCTGAAATAAAAAAGGACAGGGCTATGTGAACAGCATTAGGTCTTTTAGAAGAGTACCTGTGTTCCACATTGCTCTGTGTTCACATTATCAAATATATTGGAGGAAACGTACCTTTTACTTTAAGTAACATGATTGTGCTAATTGAAGTTCCAGATTATTTTTAAGGTTTTAAATAATAGTTTGTAATAACTGCAAAAGTGATATTGTTATACTTATTTGTATATTGTAAAGCTTATTGAAAAGACCTTACAATTTGGGGCATGGTGGCACAACCTGTAATCCCAGCTACTCAAGAGGCTGAGGCAGAAGGATTGCAAATTCAAGGCCAGACTTGGCAACTTAGCAAGATCCTGTCTTAAAAAACAAAAAAGAAGAAGAGTTGGGAATAGGTCTGGGTGGTAGAGTGCGCCTGGGTTCAATTCCCACTACAAAACAGAATGGGAATCTTAGAACAATGGGCAATAACCTTTGTTCCCCCAAAACAGCTTAGAAATGTTTAATCTTTGTGAGGAAGTGTCAGGATACTTTTAAGAGCAGTGGCCAAAGAATCAGGATCGGTAATTGAGTGGTAGACATCTTTGGTTATGAACCTAATCTAATCTCTTCAAGATTTTATATGGTAATTTCCCAAGAGATCCTGCCAGTGTTCTTGAAAAACATTTCCAGATAATTTTAATTTTAACTAAACAGATTGAACTGTTAGTATACAATTTTAAGTCTCAGCTATGCCAGAAAATTATTTATATTATATAGAAATTTGCAGAATTGCTAGAAACCTTCAATGTTATATCTTTCTACTTGTCAGTTAATGCTTAGAATCATCCATTTGGCAAATGACTGCAAATCTGTCAACATTTGATTCTTTGGACCATAGAGAACAGCTCTAATCCTTCCTCAAGATGATGGCCCTTAACTATGTAAAGAAAGAAAGTTTTTTCATGCTACTTTCCTCCCTCTGTCTTTGCCTAGTGAAAATAATAGTTCACTGTGACCTCCTCAACTGCTTGTATAATCAGCTTTAGATTCACTAGTCTCACTGTCATATGCAGAATTGTGGTCTTACCAGGAAACAACAACAACAAAAAAGGCAGAGAATAAATAATCCCTTTTTCTTCTTCTAAATACAGTCAAATCTCATGTTAGATGTTTGGCCATCACACCATATTCTTGAGACATTAATCTTCTGTCAGCTAAAAGCACCACGCCATGCTGCTGAGCCACACCTCTTCCACTCTTTACTGGTGGTATTTGTTTCTTGAACACAAATAAGTTAGATGGGAAAATTTTGAGTTTTACTATATATTTATTACATACTTGCCAGTTTTGAATTTCACTGTATAGGAATTAATCCTGTTCTCCGGATTTGAAACATGTTAATTTAGTTATTATAGTTTTATGATATTAGCATATTACCAACCATTCATACTACATATTTTTTAATCGCTTAAAAAGATTGATGAAGGAGCTGTAGTTAAAGCACCGAGCCCAATGGTAGTATCAAGTGTCCTGCAGTTTCCTAAATTAGATTTCTTCCAAACTGAATTCACCATAGAAGTTAGTTACTAAACTTGACAATATGCATCTAAACCCATGGTAGTTCTTAATAGCTGTGACAGTTTTGTCAAGGAGCTTATTTTCTCATCCACAAAAGACTTGTTAAAAGGATCAAATGAAATACCGTAGCACAATTGGCACATAGTAGGGGCCTAATAAATGTTAGTCTTTGCCACCCTGATTATCTTAGCAGTCTTTAGACTATATTACCCATATCCCTAGGTACACACAGACTGTGTTATATAAAAGTAACTTGGGCACATGGATAGTTGCAAGGGAATCAGGTTGCAAATCCTAAACATTCTTAGGCCCTGAAGCTCAAAACTGCTGTGCCTGAAAACAGAGCTTCTCAAGCCATTTTTCTTTTCCTTCTTCCCTTTCACAGTCACCCTTCTCCTTGTTAACCAAAGCTAGATATAAAACCTCAAGATTCTACGGGCTGGGGATGTGGCTCAAGCGGTAGCGCGCTCTCCTGGCATGCGTGCGGCCAGGGTTCGGTCCTCAGCACCACATACAAACAAAGATGTTGTGTCCGCCGAAAGCTAAAAAATAAATATTAAAATATTCTCTCCCTCTCCCTCTCCCTCCCTCCCTCTCTCTCTCTTTAAAAAAAATAATAAAACCTCAAGATTCTAAACAGTGCTATGATTATAAATGAAAGCATCCATGTAGAGAACACAAGAAAATCAAATACATTTACATTTCAGGTGGTTTTTAAATTTTTTGCTCTCAGCCAAATTGCTATATCATTGAAAGTAATTTTTGATGATAGGATCATTACTTTGGAAGGACTTTAAAGAATTATGGGATAGTGGTATAACAAATTGCTTCCATTATCATCTTTTTGTTAATGTGAACAAAATTTCTTAGAGCTAATAAAAAAGAAAAATAGGAGTAAAATTAATGCTGAATCTTCTCATTGTTGTTAGAGCTAATAAAAAAGAAATATAGTAAAATTAATGCTGACTCTTCTCATTGTTGTAGTAATTTTATTCATGAATTCATAAACTACTATTTTGAAAACCCTAACCATCTCATTAAGAAATGCCTCTTTAAATTTTCTCACATTAACATTTTAATAAAGATTGTAGTGTATCTTTTTCCCTCCATAATGCAAGCCCTCTATCACTGAGCCATATATACCCTTAGCCCTAGATTTTAGTATATCTTATTTTGATCAGTTTGATAACTGATAATTACAGTAATGAACTAGGATGTTTTAAGTCTTAAAAACACACAGTAATAGAAATAGAAGAATTTATATATACTTATTTTGATGTGAAGAATTATGTACTAAAATACATAACATTAAGGCATAATTATTGTGAAAAAATATTTCAAGGAAATAGAAGTTCCAGTATAAAATTTCAAGTTGTTAATAGAAGCATTTGCCAGGTGCAATAGTGCATGCTTATAATTCCAGCAGTTGGGAGCAGAGGATTGCGAGTTTAAAGCCAGCCTCAGCAAAAGTGACGCGCTAAGAGACTCAGTGAGACCCTGTCTCTAAGTAAAATACAAAATAGGGCTGGGGATGTGACTCAGTGGTCAAGTGCCCCCGAGTTCAAACCCTTGTACTAAATAAATAGATAGATAGATAGATAGATGGATTTGTTGCCAAGAGTTAATAAGTGGGATGGCATCAAATTAAAGAGCTTCTGTACAGCAAGGGAAACAATTAAAATTGTGAAGAGAGAATCTACAGAATGGGAGAAAATTTTTGCTAGCTACTTTTCTGACAGAAGATTAAGATCCAGAATAAAGAACTCAAAAACTTATTACACACATACACAAATAACCCAATTAATAAATGGGCAAATGAACTAGACAGACAACTTCTCAAAAGAAGAAACACAATGAACATATGAAAAAATGTTCAACACATGCTTAGCAATTAGGAAAATGTTAATCGAAACTACACTGAGATTTCATCTCACTCTAGTCTTAATGACAGCCATTAAGAATTCAAACAATAATAAATGCTGGAGTGGATGTAAAGGAAAAGAAGGGAGGGAGGAGAAGAGGGAAAAGAAAATACTGGTGAATGACAGTGACCAGACAAATTGTATTGTTATATGGTATGCATCCATGAATAAGTAATAACCAGTCCAACCATTATGTATAACTGTAATGCACCAATAAAAAATAATAAGAAAAAGGCATTTGTTTAAAGAATTTTTTTACTCCATCTGCTATTAGTTTTGTTTATTTATTTTTATGTGGTACTGAGGATCAAACCTGTGCCTCACATCTGCTAGGCAAGTGCTCTACCACTGAGCCACAACTCCAAGCCCCCATTTGTTCTTTTTTTTAAAGATGATAATGGGTATCACATTGCTATATGTTATTTAGATTCTACTGAATAAAGAACGAAGTAACATTTCTATTTTAAAGTATTGTTTTCAGTAAGACAGAAATTATTAATATATTGTTTGTAGCTTTTAAATTTGTGGTAAAAAATTCTAGATGTAGTCTAAAAATATGAGGAATACATTGTTTTAAAAAACTTGTTTAGCAAGACTGAGGATGTAAGTAAGTGGTAGAAAGCTTGTCTAACAAATATGAGGTCATGGGTTCAATCCTAGTACTGCAGAAAAATAAAAATTTGTTTAGGATCCACACATGTAAAAAGATTTGACCAGCACTTATCTAACTTTCTATATATCTTGGTAAACATCACTTTATTAACCTAGTACCAAACCCCAAGAAGAACAGCTTTTAGTCTCACCCTAAACCTTCCTCACAGTGGTTGCATTGCCAAAGTGTGGATCAAAATAAATACAAGTGATTTTTGCCATGCTTTTAATTTCTTCCTGCCAAGCTTCAATCTCCATTGGTATATCTAGCTTGTTCTTCGTCTTCCTATACAATGAATTCTTTCTCATGAACCTCATTTTCTTTTAACTTGACTTCATTTCTTTCCTCATGTACTATCTCTGGCCCATGCAAATGAAATACGTTTTCTTAAGTTAGAACCTTCCGCTTCATAAATGCCAAGTGACTTTTTCCCCATAAGAATTTTTATTCTCCACGTGTCTGAAATTACAGATTGACTTGGGTGGAGGGAGGACGAAGGCAGTGCAGGAAAGGGAAAAAGTTCTGTCACTCCAGCTTCACTGCCCAGACAATTGTGGCCAAAGATGTAGTTCAGTGCTAGAGTGCTTGCCTAGCTTGTGAGGTCCTGGGTATAATCCCAGCATCACAGAAGGAAAGGTAGTAATCTGGGCAACCCTGACTTTTGCCCACCCAGGTTGTTAACCTGTGTAAGATAAATGTGAAGTGAGTCTGATGTTGCTTATTTTTGGTGAAGCCTATCTGGTATTCCAGAATAAGCCCAAGATTCTTTGGCTTATTCCAAAATTTCATCTGAGATTTATGTCAGGCTCACCTTAAGAAGAACTAATTCATTAAATATTTACTGTTTGCATTCTTATCCAGAGAAAATGAAAGCCTAAGGAGAAGTTAGATGTTCAAGGTCACAACATGAACAACTGGCAAGGCTCAGATTTAAATGATTCCAAAGCCCTTGTTTTTTCCATGATACTATGCTGCCTTCAATCTGTTGGCAAAGTCTTTCTTTCGCTTTTAAAGAAAAGTAATGACATTTAGCTATCTTGTTTCTAGAGCACCTTATTTCCAAACTCTTTTAAGTAATACTTGTCTTTCAGCTATCTCACAACTGTTTCATCTTCCTGGAATATAACTCACTAGATTAGAAGATGTGAACTCATGTAGAATAGAAAAACATCATAAGATCTCTTTATTCCTCTGGGATATCAGTTCCCACTACCTGGTATTTGGTCTGTCTTCTTCATGCCTGTATTCAGCCTTAATAGAGAGGACACAAACAGCAGTGGAGGAATCGTACATCTTTGTCCTTCATTTTCCAATTCATTGCTTGGTGGGCTTTCCCCCTGTACTTCCAAAGAAGCCCTTTTTTCCCATGACTAGAGTCTTTTTCTCTGTTGGTTTTCTGATTTATTAGGGATACCTTTCTTTTCTGGATGGTGGTCTCATAAACTCTCAGAAGTACTGTGTCTGTATTTTGCCCTTTCCCTCACCTGCATAGTTTAGCTTGCCTCCACATCTTTCTAGTTCATTAATTGTTAGATGCAGAATCTGTATCTTTTACTACATGGCCACCTCTCTTAACCAGTCTATTCTTTGCACTAGGACCCCCTCCACATTTTAGTCTGATCTTAAGTCTCATTCAAGTCTGAGTACTACTAAGATCATATTTTCCATACTAGTTTATGGTTATATTAAAATTTATTACCTATGTTTTCTAGGAAAAGACATCATGAACTTAATTACTTTTTACCAAAAACAACTGAATGGTAATTTATTAAAATTGGGGCTGGGGATGTGGCTCAAGTGGTAGCGCTCGCCTGGCATGCGTGTGGCCTGGGTTCGATCCTCAGCACCACATACAAAACAAAGATGTTGTGTCCGCTGAAAAAAACGAAAAAATAAATATTTAAAAAAAAAATAGTCCATTGTTTGGTAGGAAAACACTGGAACTTTTTGTCCATCTGTAATTAAGTTTTAGTCTAATGTTCTAATATACCATCCATACATATGTTCTCCTTAAGGAAAATCATTTTATAATCTTCACACATTTTAATTTTTCAGTAATATTTATTTTTACATATAAAATTTGCAGATCCTTTTCACTCACTAAATGAGAAATTGTATTTTATCAGTACTAAAAATAAGTTTAATGTATCAAATCATTTCTAATATTACCATTATTTTTTCTCTAGGATTCACCAAAAGCCCAGCTTCGCCGTACAATAGAATGTTGTCGGACCAATTTATGTAACCAGTATTTACAACCTACACTGCCCCCTGTTGTTATAGGTAGGTTATCCTGGAAAAGTCAGAGCATGAGTCTCTGTAAAATATTTTTTCTGATTTTAACAATAACCAGATTACAATATTAAAACTATAAAATCACACTGTAAATTATGTTTTCCTTTTAATAAGATGTGATTGAAAGATACTCTGGTCACTTAATGTTTACTTTTCATTGTCAGGTCCATTTTTTGATGGCAGCATTCGATGGCTGGTTGTTCTCATTTCCATGGCTGTTTGCATAATTGCTATGATCATCTTCTCCAGCTGCTTTTGTTACAAGTAAGGAGATAACCTATTTGATGCAAAATATTCTGTTAAATAGTAGATATCAACAGTTGTTTTTAAAACCAGTAAGCAGAAACTACTGACTGCTGTATGCAATTCAGAAACTATTAATTTGTATTCTCTGGTTATATCATCTTAATTTTAACTAGATTATAGTTTCTTTAAGAGGTAAGAGGGTTTTACTACCAATCAATTAATTGAACACAATTTTATACTTCTGTGATTTTCTTGTTTGCAGAATAGTGAGATTTGTCTCTATTATACTTCAAGAAATGTGCAAATACCAGAAACTGGGCATTTAGGCTTCCTTCACAATTTTTATTTTAGCAGCGGCGGGGGGGGGGGGGGGGGGGGTGCTGGGGCCTTGAACATGCAAGTACTCTACCAACTGAGCTATATCGCCAGCCCTTCCTTCACAATTTTAAGCAAAATATTACAGAGAACTCCATGACTGCTTTGTTTATTTAGCTTTTGAACTTCATGTTTTATTTTTATCTACTTGAAGATACATTACTTATCAGTTGTATAAGATTAGTAATTTGGGATATTTATTCATGTTTAGCTGGACTTGAACAAGTCAGTTTGCTGTTCATAGCAAGCCATAAAAGGATAAAATTAAAAAGAGGTCTTTTAGCATATTAAGGTTCATCTTTATTATGTGTCTCATTAACCTTTTGTTTTCACTGTTTTCTGGTGACCTGTTTCAGTTAATCTAGATAAATCTCCAAATTTATTCTTAAATTTATATTCATAACAAGACCCTCAAAATCAATCTTCTCTAAAACCTCTTAAACTATCACCATTCTCCATTCTGGATTAATTATCATTTTGTACTGTTTTGCCAGTTCCTTATACTTTCCTCTGGCATAGAATTTCTCATTCGCTTTTGTAGCTCCTTTAATCCTTAACACTGGTTAGATCTATGATTCTACCCCTTACACTTAGTACTTTCACCTTAAATCTTTTTACATTCACAAATATTCACTTACTTATCATAAATATCTGGCTAAAGTCTGCCTTTCCTATTGAATAGGAATCTCAAGGACAACAGAGATTACCTGTCCATTAATATTGATGGCCAACTAAGCTGTTTAAATTGTTGCTTCTCCATTGAATTATTATGGATGAAAATGGTGAATCAGCATATCCCCCCATGCTTGCCACACAGTACTCAGTAACTTTTGTTGGTGTTTACCAGCCATCCTTTGGCCCAGAATGCTGCTTGGGAAACAGTATCACTGATTAATTTATGAGATATAAAGCCTACTGGTAGCTTGATAATGGGTCATTCATCTTCACTCCTATTAGAGGACTCCTGGTCCCATAGTAGTTCAATAATAAAAATAAGCAATTTTGAAACTATAGTAACAGTAGCAAAAAAAAAAAAAAAAATTGTCAAGTAATATTTCATTTAATAAGAATATAAACACTAATTGTATGCCTAATGAAGATGCTGTTGATCAGCTTTAAAGTGATTAAAAATAAGAAAAATTGTCATCCATGTTTATTTTTTATAATTTCCAGCACTTTTAATTTATTTAACTCTAAATTTTAAATTCAAGTTTTCATCTGATATCCTATTACTTTTTTACTTAAATTCATTGAATGAATATTTATAATATGATCAGAATGTTTTAAGATAAAATAAAAATCATGCCAAATATGTGATACAAAATATAAAACAAAAAAACAGTGAAATGAGAACATATTCAATCAAATTTCAACAGTGTTAAGAAGTAACAGTGGTAAAACAGTAATTCTGCCAACTGCAAAAGAGATACAGGGTTTCATAACAGGTAGTATAGAAACATTTGTAGATCATGAGCATTTAAAATAAATTCTACAACTGAGAATGGCTTTACTTCCCTGGTGATGGCAGGCCTACAAAAATCAATTGACAAAAACATCACTCAGAAATAACATGAAAATCAATTTCAGATGAATCTTTTTTAAAAAACTAGAAGAGGCCAGCAATATTGTTGGTATTGTATTACCCACAATAGTTGTTGTTAAAAAAAAAAAAAAACTACTACCCCATTTATTATGCTAATGTATTCTAGGTACTGTGCTAAGCATTTTACATATATTATCTCCAGTAATTCTCACAGTCACCCAGAAACTTCCCTGTTAGGTTCATCTTCACATTTTTTTGTGAAAATATAAAGATTCAGAGATGTTAAATAACCTACTTGATACTACTGAATAATTAGCAGAGCAGGGATTCAAACTGCATGATCTCCTCCAACCCCTTTTATTTTAAATTTTGATACAAGATCTCATTAAGTTGCCCAGGTTAGCCTTGAACTAGCAGTCCTCCTGCCACATCCTCCCAAGTTGCTAGGATTACAGAAGTATGTTGCCATGCCTGCTTCAAACTGCATGATCTTTATCATTTTGCTATAATTGACCCTATCTTAGACTTAACAGAGACCAAAAACCACAAGCTTGCACAAGGAAGTACACAAGAGTGGTTACCAGAGACTGGGGAGAAGAAGGGAAGGGGTTTAGGGAGAAGATGGCTAGCTGTGGCATAATGTTACAGTAAGAGGGATAAATTATAGTGTTCTTCAGCACAGTAGGGTGAATATAATTGATAAAAATGCATTGTAATATATCAGAGTAATTAGAAAAGGATTTTAATGTACTCACCATACAGAAATGAGAGGTTAAGGTGATGGATATGCTAATTACCCTGATTTGATCATTTCGCAGTTTATTCAACAATCAAGACGTCACATAGCACTTTAAAATGTGATACAAAAAAAATTTGATACAAATTTTTGTATCAAACAAAAAATAAATTAGTAAAAAAAAAAAAAAACAAAGAAAAGAAAGGAACCATTTCACATCTATGATGAAGCCTGGAAAGAGAAATCAGATACCTGGCTTCCAGATGTGGAGACATCGATCACACACTATTAGTAGAGCAACACTGAGAAAGGCAGGCAGATAGGTTATGGGAGAAACTAATGGAGCTGAAACTGAGCTCTACTACCAAAAAGAAATTTGGTAGAGTTTTGAGTTGAAAACAGTAGGACAGGTATCTGGATCTAGGTCTCATTCTATACCTGAGAGAGGGTGCTAGTGAGATAGAGATGCTTCTCTTATCTTGCTCCTTTCTTCCCATCTCTTCAGAGTCCTCTTCAAAGTTCATTTCAAGTAAACACTCAACGTTTCCTCTGACAGAAAAGAGTCTGTGTTTCCAATCCGGATAGATCTACATTTTTCATGATTAAGGTTTCTGAGGATGTTGTTGGCTTAGGTGAGCAGCCCTTGGAAGCAAGGTCGCCAGAGTGTTCTAGAGGAGCTACCCAGTGCCACTTCTGCCATGCCTGAGTGCCATGGTTGTCACCTGATATCCATTTATTCTTGCCTGGAAGCTTCCTTTAACTTCTTACAGTACAGGTGTGCTAGTCATAAATTCTCTCGCCTTTTGTTGGGTGGAGAATTTTGGGTTGGCTTTTTGTTTCTTCCTCTCAGAGGTGTCACTTCATTGTCATTGCATAATTTATGACAAAATTCTTACCTTTGATCTATTGTATGTACATTTTTTTCATGGCCTCCTTTAAGATTTTATCTTTGGTTTTGTACAATTTGAACAGAATATGTTTAGGTGTGTGTGGTAATTTTGAGAGTTTATTTAATATGCTTTAAGTATCATGAAGCTTTTTTTGAATTTATGGTTTGATGTCTGTCTCTTCTTTTGAAATTGCAGTTATACATGTTTTAGATTATTTGATGTTGCCTCACAACCCTTTCATTTTTCAATTGTCGTTAGTTTTTTCTCTTTGTATTTTACTTCAAGTAATTTCTATTTACCTATTTTCAAGTTTACTGATACCCCCCCCCCCCCCCCTCCACTGTTTCCAGTCTACCAATGAACCCATCAAAGGAATGCTTCATCTCTGATACTATGCTTTGCTTTTTTAAAAATTTTATTGGGTGCATTATAATTATACATAATAGTGAGATTCATTGTTGCATATCATACTCTGATAAACATGTTTATATTTTTATTTGAACCCATTTCTCTGCTGAAATTCTTTGTCTTTTTATTCATGTTTCTTACCTTTAACAGGCATTTCATTATTTTAATCACAGTTACTTTAAAGTCCCTGTCTTAATAGTTCCATCATGTGAGTCATTTAGTTGTACTGACTGCCTCCCCTCTTGACTGAGAGATACTCTTCCTTGCATTTTTAACTTTGAATGAAAGTTGGTTTATCACATTTAGAACAGACTGAAATAAAATTACACATGCCAGGTATGGTGTCACACCTCTGTGAGTTTCAGATACTCAGGCTGGGCAGGTGGCACAGACCTGTAATCCCAGTGGTTCAGGAGGCTGAGACAGGAGGATCGCAAGTTCAAAGCCAGCCTCAGCAATGGCATGGCACTAGGCAACTCAGTGAGAACCTGTCTCTAAATAAAATACAAAATAAGGCTAGGGATGTGGCTTAATGGTTAAGTGCCCCTTAGTTCAATCCCTGGTACCAAAGAAAGAAAAAAAAGTTTCAGCTACTCAGGAGACTGAGGCAGGAGGATCCCTAAGCCCATGAGTTTGAGACAAGCCTGGGCAGTATAGTGAGATCCTGTCTTTAAAAAAAAAAAAAATTCACATACACACACACTTGAGAATAGACATACCTCTTCTCTTAGACTGTTAGTAGGCAGGGTGGGGTTTTGTGTTTTCTTTAGTGCTTGGGTGAGTTCCTGCAATGCATCACAGGTTTCACATTTCCTTAGTAATGCACTATAGTTTTCATTGTGCTTAATGTAGGGGTTTGGGTATACAACAAGACCTGTATGTGAATAGTATATAATTTAGTCATAATGTAAACTGGAATATTGATCTGAATAAATAATGTTATAATTGTGTTGGGGGAGTGTGAGGATGGCAAGTGTTTCTGCTTATGGGGATGTAAACGATGAGTTAAATGTTCATAATGAGTTAAATATTCACCCCACTATGTGAGGTCAATAGTTAATACCTAAAATGAGAACTAAAAATACCAATATAGGCATGTCATTTAGAAATGATGAGGCAAATATTAAACAAATAGGGTTCAAGAAGTTAAAATATGTGGTTCTGAAGTGGGTAAGAGGAGGAAAGGAGATAGGGAAGTGCCATTTTATTTCTAAGCCGCAAAAAACTATATGACATCAAACAGGGCATGGAGGCACATGCCTGTAATCCCATGGTTCAGGAGGCTGAGGCAGGAGGATTACAAGTGTGAGGACAACCTGGGTCACTTAGCAGGACCCTGTCTCAAAATTAAAAAAATAAAAAGGGCTGGGAATGTAGCTCAGTGGTAGAGCACCCCTGGGTTCAATCATCAGTATCAGGGGAAGAAAGAAAAGGACTATAAAACATTCTAAAATCAGTGAACATAATACTTCGATAGCATTGCAAGTTCTAGAAATACAAAATTTGATAAAGTTTAAAACTAACTTCAAAAAGGTTACGGATAAAAGAATAGGGAAAACAGGCCTTCATATGATGATAAAGGGATTAAAACTGTGACCTTTAAGAAGGCCAGTAGCACTTTACATTAGAATTACAAATTCAGTGTTAACTTCTCTGAAGTTGTACTGCACATATAGATATACCAGAAAATTGTTTCATTTCACATTTATATATAACGAGACTAGAAACAATCTAAGTGTTATCAGTAAGGGAGTGGTTAATGCCATATAGTGGAATAATATCTAGGCATTCAAGAAACCAGGAGGCTGTTTATGTACTAATGTGGAATGATATCCTAGATACGTTGCCAAGTGAAAAGGCAAGATGCAAAACAGTGTGTATTGTATATTGCCACTTCTGGAAGTAAAAGAAAAGCAGAGGAAATGAACATTAAAATATAAATTTTGATTTGAATATGCATAAGTGGTCTTTAGGTTACACTGGAAACTAGAAATAGTTTGCTTTCAGGAAAGTAAATTTGATGACTAAGGGATAGGAGTGGGAGGGAAGATTTTTCACTGTACATCTTTGTAATGCCTTTTGAATTTTAATCCGTTTGAGTTGATTACCCATATAGTATTTAAAAATAATAAAAATTGTTAAATAAATTGGACTGTCCACACAGAATATAAATCTAACTTGATTTGTGCCTAATTTCCATTACATATTATAAATTCCAAGTGGATAAAATAACCTGATGAGAAAATCAGAATTTTAAAACCTTAGGAGATGATTTATGACATTAGGGCTGGGAAAGCTTTTTTGTTTTTTTGCTTTTTTTTGCAGGGGGAGGTTATTTTAAGACACAAAATCATATCTCAAGAGAAGGTTGGTTGGTTAATTTGACTACATTAAAATTTAAAACTAACATAAAAACACCGTAAATGGAATGCCTTGGCTGTCACAGACTGAGAGAAAGCTGTACACATTTTCAGAATGATTTAAGCTAGGCGTGGTGGTCCAGTTTTATAATCTCAGCAACTTATTGAGATCCTATCTCAAAATAAAAAATATTAAAAGCATATATTTAAAACTTTTTGGCAGGTGGAATGACACTTTATCTGCTTTTTTGATCTTTTATTTATTTTTCTCTTGTCTGTATAATGTGAACATCTCTCCATTTTAACCAACACACAACATTACACATCTTAAACCCCTTCTCTAGGTATATTGTAACAGAGGATTTATTTTTATGTGATAATATTGATTGAATATGATTCTGTCTGAAGGAATGATGGCAGTGTGAAAAATATTGAGATTTTTCTTAGCTCAGAATTATATAGTTATAGAATTTTAATATATACTTTTCTTCTCTTTTAAAAGACATTATTGCAAGGGTATCTCAAGCAGACGTCGTTACAATCGCGATTTGGAACAGGATGAAGCATTTATTCCAGTGGGAGAATCATTAAAAGACCTTATTGATCAGTCACAGAGTTCTGGTAGTGGATCTGGATTACCATTATTGGTAGGTTAAAGTTTCATAGTAAGCACTAGGTATGGTGGTGTGTGCCTATAATCCCAGCAACTCAGGACATTGAGGCAGGAAGGTCACAAGTTTGAAGCCAAAAAATAAAAGGGCTGGACAGAGTGGAGGGATGGTTAAGGGGAGGCAATGTAGAATGAATTCTTTTAAAAAAATCATGTGTTGTGCATGTATAAATAGACGACAGGGAACTTCACCTTTATGGGTAAATAAAAAGAACCGATCAAATATAAATTAATGGATGAGCAAAAGAAATCTAGTAGGGTAGACGAAAGAGAATGGGAGAGCACCCTTATAAAACACTAAATATCCAGATTAGTTTTTAATTGGTTAATTGCATTTGTTGAAAGTAAATACATTGATATCCTGTTTAAAAATTTGGCTAATGAAATCTGTAAATCTTCATATGCAGTCTTGATTGTTTATGTAGAAGATCCCAAAACATGGGACAGTAAAGCTACTATAACCAATAAGTGAGTTTATCAAGTTGCAGAATATAGTCATTCTATAAATATTATGACTTTATATACACACTAGCAACAAACAATTGGAAATTAAAATTTAAAATTAATATTTAAAATAGTATCAAAAGTGCTGGAGATACAGCTCATGGACACTCTGCTATGGAACTACATCCTTAGCCCACCTTCACTTTATTTTTATTTTTATATTTATTTTTTAGTTCTCGGCGGACACATCTTTGTTTGTATGTGGTGCTGAGGATCGAACCTGGGCCGCACGCATGCCAGGCGAGCGTGCTACCACTTGAGTCACATCCCCAGCCCCCACCTTCACTATAATCTTTTTTAATTTTAATTTTTACTTTTATTTATTTATTTATTTTAGTTGTAGATAGATAAAATACCTTTATTCTTATTTATTTTTATGTGATACTGAGCATTAGACCCAGTGCCTCACACGTGCCTGGCAAGCGTAAGTGTTCTACCACTGAGCTACAACCCCAGCCCATCCTCAGCCCCTTTCATCTTTTATTTAGAGACAAGGTTTGACTAAGTTGCCCAGACTTAACCTCAAACTTGCAGTCCTCTTCCTGAGCCTCCAAGGGCTGGGATTACCACTGTACCATCTTGCCCAGCCCAATTTTTTTAAATGAACAAAAGATTTGAACTGGTACTGCTTCAAATAAGATAAAAGAATAGCAGATAAGTACATGAAAAGGTGCTCTGTAACATTAGGGATGTGCAGATTAAACAATGAAGTGCTACTACATTCACCTTAATGACTAAGACTGACATTATTAAGTACCAACAAAGATATATAGATCAGCTACAAATTTCATACATCATGAATTGGAATGAAAAATGGTATAGCCAGTTTGAAAACCAGTTTGCCAGTTGACCGGAAAGTTAAGCATATAATTTCTTGATATTGAAGCAGTTCTTCTGCTGTTTTACCTAAGAAATAAATATAAAAACATATCTACAAAGACTTGAATGTTAATTTTGTCATAGCAGCTATATTCATAACAGACATAAATTAGGAACAGCCCAGAAGTGCATCAGTTGGTAAATGGATAAACAAATTGTGGAACATTTATACAACAGAATATTACTCATCAAACTCCTAATACACATTAGGAGTTTGATTGCATGACTGCATGCATTTTTTAAAACTCCTAATACACATCAAACTCCTAATACAACAGAATATTACCCATTAAACTCCTAATACACAAACAACATGGATCAGTTTCAAAAGGATTATATGCTAAATGAAAGAAGCCAGGGGCTGGAGTTGTAGTTCAGTGGTAAAGCACTTGCCTAGTACATGTGAGGCACTGGGTTCTATTCTCAGCACTACATAAAAATAAGTAAAGGAATTGTGTCCATATACAACTTAAAAAATATTAAAAAAAAAAGCCAGACACAAAAGGCTACATATTGTATGTTTCTGTTTACATGGTATTCTAGAAAAAGTAAAACTGTAGGGACAGAAAACAAACCTGGTGTCAAAGACTAGGGGAGGGGATTAAACTTAAGTGGGAAATTTTGTAGGCAATGGAAATGTTCTTTATCTTGAATGTGATATTGGTGATTGCATGACTGCATGCATTTTTCAAAACTTATTGTACTGTTCTCAAAAAAGATTAATTTTATTGGATATAAATTATACCTCAATATTCCTAACTTTTAAAAAATATTACAAAAGGATTCTGTAATAAATGATGCATAAAGTAAGCCAGATTAGATTTATGCAAACTTTAGTCCTAGTTCATTTTAGATGCACTTCTAACCTGGAACATAGCGTCCTTTTAAATTTAAAATAATCACTAATGCTTCTGAAAATGAAAGGTAAAGTATTTATTGTACTTCAGATATTATCCCAAATAAATACCTATATTCTGTGAGCAGGGAGTGTGATTCAAGCAAAGATGTATGTGAATAAGATTGTAATTGTGATAAGCACAGTAATTGAGAAGTATCCATGTGCTATAAAGTTGTTAAAGCTAGACAAACAGCACTCTAAGGGAATTGGATATACAGCAAGAGCTTGAGATGAGAATAAACGAGTGAATTCTAAAAGTTGAAATAAACAAGTAAAAAGAGTGCATGTTAAGTGTTCATAGTGAATGTGCTGGGGCTGGGCCAGACTGTATTGCACCTTAGAGACCAAGGTGAAGAGATTTATTCAATTTGCTACATAATAAATGACCACAAAACTTAGTGGCTTAAAACCACAAATATGGGCTAGGGATGTAGCTGAGTTGGTAGGGTGCTTGTCTCATATGCACAAGGCCCTGGGTTCAATCCCCAGCACCACAGAAAAACAAACACACAAAAAAGCTTTATTATTTCTCAAGATTCTGTGGTTCTGCTGGGCCATTTATTTTCTAGACTTGATCAGCTGAAGCTGGGTGGTATAGCTTATGCATAGGACTGGCAGTTCACATGATGCTATCTGTTGTAAAGAGGGCTTCCAAAAACACCTAGAAAGGACAAGCTCCTATATGTAAACATTTATCAAGCCTTTTCTTATAGCACATTTGCTATTCTGTTGCCCAAAGCAAGTCATGTAGCCAAAGCCTGAGTCCTTAAGGAAAGTGACTACTGAAGGGTGACCATTTCTGGGCACAGTTATCCCATTGACTAATTTGTTAATGATTTCAGAATACATTGTACAGTGTTTCTTCTTTTAAGTACAGTATAAGTTTTAACATTGGAATTGGTTGGTTGGATATACCTGGCTTTTTGATGGAGTATCTTATCCCTTTGTCAGTTTAAATGGGTTATTTTTAAGAACGCAAAACCTTTTTACTTTTTTCTGTGAAGGTTCAGAGAACTATTGCCAAACAGATTCAGATGGTTCGGCAAGTTGGTAAAGGCCGGTATGGAGAAGTGTGGATGGGTAAATGGCGTGGTGAAAAAGTGGCAGTCAAAGTGTTTTTTACCACTGAAGAAGCTAGCTGGTTTCGAGAAACGGAAATCTACCAAACTGTGCTAATGCGCCATGAAAATATACTTGGTGAGTATGATTTGATTTTAGTCTGTTCCACATCTGACAAGGGTATGGGATACAGGTAGAAACCTGCCGTGTGGTATGTGCATTTGGCTAAAGGAAGCCCAGTAGAGTACACAGTTTAAATACAACAGTCCCAACCATGCACTGTATTTGCTTCCCAGCTGAATAAATAGCAATGAGTTTCAGGTGGACAGTAATTCTAGTTTATTGGACTTATTCAAATGAAAACCAAGTCTTTTATAAGCAAGTTAAGCAGTTTTCTAGGGTAACTTTAACTCTTTCTTCCTTTTACTTTTTATAAGCCCAATAACCTAATGTGAAGCTTCATTTTATGTTCTGTGCTTAGTACTATTCCCCTTCCTACCTCATGTATGCAGTAGCAAAATAATCTAGGTATGATCTAATTAGTAGAGTGCTTAGCTATATCTAGATGTCCTGAGATTTCTTTTTTCTCTATCCCTCGAGAGTGAATATAGCACATTGTCAGGCATATAACAAGCACTTATATTTTTTTCCTGTTGCTGCTATAACAAATTGTCATGAATTGGGTGATGTAAAACAACAGAATTTTGTTTTCTCAGAGCTTCAGAGGCTAGAAGTTTAAAATCAGTTGTTGCCATGGTCATTCTCCCTCTGAAGGCTCTATGGGATCTCTCTTGCTCCTTCCTGGCTGTAGGTGGTTGCCAGCAATCTGTGCTATTCCTTGCCTTATAGACAATGCTTCAATCTCTACTTCTCTCATGATGTGGTCTTCTTCCCTGTATGCCAGTATCTGCATTTCCATTTTATAGGATACCAGTCAGTGAATTAGAGCCCACCCTAATCTTGTTGCCCCATCTACAAAGATGCTGTTTCCAAATAGGTCACGTTTATAGATTCTAGGTGAATTTGGGGGCAACATTATTCAACTCAGAAGAGTACTCACCAACCTTAAGGGAGAGACGAAGAGAAAGGACAAGGTAAAGTTGACAGTACTGTGGATCAGTAGTCAATGAGCCAGACTGAAAAAGCAGATGAGGCATTGATGGGCTAGTTGAGTGAGCTGATTTAGTTAGGAGCTAACTCTTGGTTAAACATTATGCACTTTATTAAAGTGTCTACTTTTGAATTTGAAATTGAAAGCCTTTTCCACTAGAGAATCATGTTTTTTCCCTAGTCATATTACTATTACTTTCATGATTATTGTTAGGATTATTGTAAATTTATTGCAGAAGTCTAGTTATATGTATAAGTGACAGAAATAAAATTTTTGGTAATACATTCAAGAATTTTGGCAGGCAAGTCAAATTAATATTACTATCCATACATGATAATGTAAGTTATTCTCAGTATCCTGAATGAGTATTCGTGATTCCTCCCAGCCTTCTCTAATTATAACTACATTTTTAAACTCATTAATTGGACAGGTTTTATAGCAGCAGATATTAAAGGCACAGGTTCCTGGACTCAACTCTATTTGATTACTGATTATCATGAAAATGGATCTCTCTATGACTTCCTGAAATGTGCTACACTAGACACCAGAGCCCTGCTCAAGTTGGCTTATTCAGCTGCCTGTGGTCTGTGCCACCTCCACACAGAAATTTATGGTACCCAAGGAAAGCCTGCAATTGCTCATCGAGACCTAAAGAGCAAAAATATCCTCATCAAGAAAAATGGAAGTTGCTGCATTGCTGACCTGGGCCTTGCTGTTAAATTCAACAGGTAGATGGTTCTTTGCTCCACTGTTTTGAAATTATTTTAATTTCTAAAAGATACCTGCTTGTTTGTATTCAATGCAGTGGAATTCTAAAAATGTGTAAATATTCATTAATTAGGTCTATAAATATATAGTTTAAAATTTTGGTTAATCTATTTGTAAAAATTATACATAATTCTTGATTTCCTGCTTTTTATTATAATAGACATCTTTCTGTTTCAGTTTATTTATATTTACCTCATTCTTTTTGATAAATTCATAGTGTTCAGTAATATGGATGTACATTTTTCTGTGCTCCAACTAAGGGACATTAAGATCGCCTCTCATTTATTTATTTATTTTTTAAGTCTTAATGAACGTTATTGTATTTTATTCAAAAAGATACTATATTCTTGAGTACTTCTACAGGTGTTTCTTCATGATGGACTCCTAGAGAAGGACTATTGAGACAAAGAGTTTGAACAAATAGTTTTTTAAAAAAGAGACAGTTTATGTATGTGTGTGTGTGTGTGTATATATATATATATAAAATTATGATATATTGCATATTATCCCTTCAGAAATCATGCCTCAGTTTATATCTTTCTGTAAGTGGGGAAAGATAAGCATGCTGGTTCTCCATTATCGCTTGATATCTCAGTTTTTAATAATATAGAATTGTAAAATTTTTAGAAAATCATTGAAGCCATTTTAATGTTATAACTCCAGAATACAGCAGTTGTTTTACATTTCACAATTCATATCAGTCCATAAATGAAAGTTCTAGTTTATTTTTTTATTATTTTTTAAATTTAAATTTTTTTTTTTTTTTTAGTTATTGATAGTCCTTTATTTATTTCACGTGGTGCTGAGAATCAAACCCAGTGCCTCACACATGCCAGGCAAGTGCGCTACCGCTCAGCCACAGCCACAGCCACAGCCCAAAGTTTTAGTTTATGAAACAACTGTAAGAACCACCTAGATCTTCTTCCCTGGACGTTGTAGTATTCTAAATTGATGTAGTGTTTGTTGGCTTAAATATTTCTTCAATTCTACATGAGAAAGTACAACGTGTCGTATTTATTTCTGCTTGAGAATAATTGCTAGAACCTGCTAGACCTAAGGGCATAAACAATAAAGCAGTGATGTCTTCAACTTTAAAATTTAATCTTGGGCTGGGGTTGTAGCTCAGTAGTAAAGCGTCTGTCTAGCATGTATGAGGCACTGGGTTTAATTCTCAGAACCACATATAAATAAATAAAATAAAGGTCCATTAATAACTAAAAAAATATATTTTTAAAAAAATCTCAATTAAAAACTAATAAATCATTTATTACTGATTGTTAATATGTTTATGTAGACATTACTCATAACAACTAATTTCACCGAAACAATGTAATCCTGTGTCTTGAATGCTGAATTTATCATGTGAGAGTGGCAAAAGCAGATGATTCATTCTCATATTCACTTCTTTGTAAATATAATTATCTACCACTTTTTTTTTCCGGGGTGGGGGGCTGGTACTAGGGATTGAACTTGGAAGCACTCAACCATTGAGCCACATCCCCAACCCAATTTGTATTTTATTTAGAGTCAGGGTCTCATTGAGTTGCTTAGCACCTTGTCATTGGTGAGGCTGGATTTGATCTTTCAATCCTCCTGTCTCAGCCTCTCAAGCTGCTAGGATTATAGGCATGAGCTACCAAGCCTGGCTTACTTTTTCATATATTAAGTGTTATTCTTTTTCTTAGAGAGGCACCAAACTGTTTTGGTGACAAAACCTGACTTGAACCTGATATAAGGTTATTTTTGGCCTTCATTCAGTTTAGTGAGAGTAGTCAGACTAGTGTTTCACTGCAGATTTAGTAATGATATTAAGGAGCAGTGCACACCCTACTATAATAGATAACGTATTTAAAAGGCATATTTTCTAAATTCTGAAGATGCTAAATTTCATTTCTAGCCCCAAGGATTTCTGATAAGGAAATGAGTACACACACAATATATACACAATATGTGTATATATATATATGTACACATATATGTACACGTGTATATTTATTTTAGAAAGAGAACCCTTATAAAATATAACTAAAACATAAGATAAACAATTTTGTTCTTGGCTCTCAACCTAGATGTTGTCTTTCTCCTGTTGCAGTGATACAAATGAAGTTGATGTACCCTTGAATACCAGAGTGGGAACCAAACGTTATATGGCTCCAGAAGTGCTAGATGAAAGTCTGAATAAAAACCATTTCCAGCCCTATATAATGGCTGACATCTATAGCTTTGGCCTGATCATTTGGGAAATGGCTCGTCGTTGTATCACAGGAGGTAAGAGTTTGAGTAATGTGTTTCTGATTCTTTGATTTTTTTTTTTAATTAAAAGTTCCAGTTATGTAATGGTAACTTCATACATATGTCAGGAGTTCCCAGGACCACTCACATTTCCTGTGGAAGGACCCACAGAACTAAGCATGTAGTTGTCCTCATTGCTCAGATTTATTATACTGAAAGGATACGAATCAAAATCAGCAAAATGAGAATGTGCTTCAGGCAAAATTCTGAGAGAAATAGGCAAAACTTCCAAAAGTCCTGTCCTAATGGAGAGCAAATTGTGATGTGTTTGAAGCAATATAATCTAGAGAAGTTCATTAGACACTCAACACCAATAGATTGTATTGGATTCTAGTCATATGAGGATCTTTTACCTGGCAGGTACCAATTCCAGACTCCAGAATTCTGAACACAGGTGTTCAGCACACACCAAATTATTTATACAAACCATATGGGAACAGGGAGACACATGTCAGTTTAGGGATGTTTCCATCTTTGTAGGGAACTGTTTTTCATTCAGGTTCCTAGACACTAGCCAAGGGCCAACCTTGTAGTTGGGCCTTTCTAAGAAGAACAGTCTCAGACTTGTTGCTTTACACTCTTTGTGCATCATCGTGAGTCTTTCTCCTGCAAAATAATAATAATAATAATAATAACAACAACAACTGCATTCATTATTATAAGGAATAGTTGGGTAAGTAGAAGATACTTAGATTGAGATTAAAAGTTTTCAGGGTAAGTGAATGATTTTTTTTTTTTTTCTTTTACTCCGCTAAGGAATATATTAGTATACCCTTTGTTGATAGACTGTCAAAATTGTGATGGGGTTTCTGGTTGAGGTAGAGGAAATAATGGGACATAAATAAGAGAAAATTATGCATTTGCTACTAAAAGTGAACACTCCAGTCAATATTTCTTTTCTTCTTTATGTAGGAATCCATTTTAGTCACAGCTCAGTGAGAAAGGCTGCATAAATCGATGTATTTTGTTCGCCACCATTTTATGGCTGCTATGTTTTCTCTCTCCCAACAGGGATAGTAGAGGAGTATCAATTGCCATATTACAACATGGTACCCAGTGACCCATCCTATGAAGATATGCGTGAGGTTGTATGTGTCAAACGTTTGCGGCCAATTGTGTCTAACCGATGGAACAGTGATGAAGTAAGTGGAGCTCACCCCCTGAAGAAGTTCTAGATGAATATTCCCAAAGATGATTTCTGCTCATTATGTACTATTTACTTTTCAGTGTCTACGAGCAGTTTTGAAGCTGATGTCAGAATGCTGGGCCCACAATCCAGCCTCCAGACTTACAGCATTGAGAATCAAGAAGACACTTGCGAAGATGGTGGAATCCCAAGATGTAAAGATTTGACAGTTAAACCAACCTGAGGAGAAATTCTGGACTGCAAGAACTATGTTCTCCCAAGAACAGGTGGAATTAGCATGGAATAAGGATGTTGACTTGGTTCTCAGACTCTTTCCTCACTACACCTTCACAGGCTGCTAACATTAAACCTTTCAGTACTCTTGTAGACGACAAGCTGGAAACTTCTAAACACTTCATTCTTCACATGTGGACAGCTTTATTTTAAATGTGGTTTTTGATGCCTTCTTTTTTTTATTGGATTTTTATGAACTGCATCAAAACTTCAGTCCTGATGAATAAGTCTCCAGTCAAACTCTGGGTACTGAATTGCCTGTTCATAAAATGGTGCTTTCTGTGAAAGCCTTAGAAGCTAAATGAGTTCAGCAGAGATGGAGAAATACACACTTTTGCCTTCTACCTGAGAAAATTAAATTTGTTTGTATCCTACCTTTGTAAAACAGCCTATAGATTGTGATCTCTTTGGAATTCTGCTTAGTTCATGATAGTGCATCATGCTTTCCTGGATGACGGTGTGTGTGTGTGTGCATGTGCACACATACACCAGTATTCCTCTGCTGCCATTTGAATTAGAAGAAAATAATTTATAAATGCACAGGAAGATGTTGGTGGCTGGTGTTTTTGTGCTTTAAAAATGCAATATCTGACCAGGATTCGCCAATTTCATAAAAGCCATTTACCTTGCAATTAAGGTAGCTTCCCGCCAACTATATCTTTTACCATATAATTGCTATGAAAGCCAAAAGAAGTTTAAAGTGTTTGTAAATTTGGACTATTTTCCTTCTACCACCATCTTTTTTTTTTTTTTGGTAATTATTTTGTCATGAGAAGCATTCTATCCAAAGTTGAAGCTTCTAATGCCATGAACCATGCTTATAAACACTTCTTATTGAAGTGAATTATTGCATTTGATAGCAATGTAAGTGCCTATAATCATGTTCTGTATTCTTTATTCTCAGTAACTTTTAAAAGGGAAGTTATTTATATTTTGTGTGTAATGTGCTTTATTTGCAAAACACCTGCTCTTTTACAACCATATTTTATATATGTACATACATTTACACTACAGAAACCAGCTCACATGTACCTCACATCCTTAAAGGAAAAAATGTTCTAAAGTACAACTTCATTTGAGTTTTTTCAGAATTAATGTATCCAGAGTAACATTAAATCCTGGACTTCATTAACTTCAAGCAAAACTTCATTAAGATAATGCCCATCTGAGTTTTCCTTTATAAAAGGATGCTATAATTAGGAATTTATGTCAGAGCTAACATAAGTTTATCAATGATTCTTAAGTATGTTTTTGACATAGATTTAATCATTTGATATATTTGGTTTTACAGTTTATAGTCCCAAATTTGTGAAGACAATGAAGAGTAAGGCAAAAACTGAGTATTTAGTACCCTCATCTACACTGTATAGCTGTTATTCAATAAAATGATAGATATTTTATAGAGGCTTTGTTATCTCGAGGAATACTGATTTACTTAAACACATTATGTTTCTATAGTATCTTTTAAATATTAATCTCCTAAACAGCCAACTCATGAGAGCATCAAGTAAAACAAATTACTTTGAATGGAACATGAAATAAAATGATTGTGTCACAACATAGTGAAAAAGTTCAAACTTTTAAAAAATTTTTAGAAAGAAGAAAAAAGCTTAAAGGGGGGAAAACCAGAGCATGTGCCCACCTATCACCAAAAACTTGACTGTCATCTGAAGCTAAAATTAATATATTGTCTAACACACATTAGATGGATAAGTTTCATTTAACAAAAAGTTTGAAGGTTCATTAAGAAATAAATTTGCATATTGATATTACCCCAGAACTTGCTTTTTCAGAATGTGTTTCCTATCCATACACTGAGAAATACAGATATTTTAATCAGGATTACCATGTGATTGGAGACAAGTAAGAAAAACTTAATTTACGTAGTCCAAGTTAACCATGATTTATTTTTGCTTTGATAACTGTCAATCTTAAAAATTATTTAGCATCTTAATAATGAAGAGAATATGTATAGAAAGACAAACTTTATTCTTAGAAATGTTTTTTAAATGGTGTGTGTAGCTGGGCACAGTTGGTGCATGACTATAATCCCAGTGACTCCAGAGGCTGAGGCAGGAGGATTGCAAGTTTAAAGTCAGCCTCAGCAATTTATCGAGGCCGTAAGCAACTTAATGAGGCCATGTCTCAAAATAGAAAGGGCTGGGGATGTGGCTCAGTGGTTAAGGGCCCTTGAGTTCAATCACAGTACCCACCCCCACTCCCCTGCAAAAAAAAAAAAAAAAAAAGTGGATGTAGCCACTGTAAAGATTTTTTTAAAACAAACTCGATCTAGTAAAAGTGGTATCAAGAATTAACCTTAGAAACATGGTCAATAAAACATTTTCTAGTATAACATGTTTGTTAAAAAACAAATGCTAGCCAGGCATGATGGTGCACACCTGTAATACCAGCAGTTTGGGAGGCTGAGACAGGAAGATCTTGAGTTGAAAGCCAGCCTCAACAAGGGCAAGGCAGTAAGCAATTCGGTGAGACCCTGTCTCTAAAGAAAATACAAAATTGGGCTGGGGATGTGGCTTAGTGGTTGAGTGCCCCTGAGTTCAATCCCCCATAACCCCTCCCCCCCACCTCCAAAAAGCAAATGCTGCCATATTTACAATCCTAAAATCTAAAAACCTTTCATGAAACTTATTTTCTTCTTTCACCCTTTTACTTTTAAGTTTGAAGTTCATGCAGTAAATGAAATATTTAAAGACTAGTAAGAAGTATTATATAGTACCATAGTTAATAATTTGTAAAATGCTGGAAGCCATTATTTGGCCCCACTTATAATTTAGCATTCAAAAAAATGTGGCTTTACACAGTTATTCCTTTAAATAATTAAAACATAAAAACTTCAAAAATCAAAACTACCAGAATATAAAAAGCAAAAGTTAACCCTCAAAGAAAATTCTTTTCATGAATTCTCTTTGTGCTTCTATTCAATAGCATTAAAAGCATATTAAGATTCCTTCAGGATTGAGGGTATGGCTTAGTGGTAGAGCACTTGTTTAATATGTGTGAGGCCCTGGGTTAAATCCCCAATGTAGTGCCTGCCCCCCCACCAAAAAAACAATTACTTCAGTTTGTTTATTCTAAACTTTTTTTTTTTTTCTTTTTTGGCAGCACTGGAGATCAAACCCAAGGCCTTTTTTTTTTTTTTTAAATTTTGTTTTAGTTATACATAGGCAAGATAATCATTATTTTGTTTGTTTATTTTTTTGTGGTGCTGAGGATCCAACCCAGTGCCTCACGTGTGCAAGGCAAGTGCTCTGCCACTGAGCCACAACCCTAGCCCCCAAACCCAAGACCTTTATGTGCTAGGCAAGTGCTCTACTACTGAGCTACATCCCAGCCCTACTGTGCTTTCTTATTGAACAAGTTTTGGAAATATAAAGTTTAAATCTGATTTCTCTGGAATTATTTTCACAAAAGAAATCTTAATCAACATGTTAGGTTGCCTTCCCAATGTCCAGAAGTGCTTCTAAATTTAGAAAGTGACTTTTCTTTTTATGTTTTCCTAGAATGTGCCATGTTTTTATGTATGCACAAATATTCAATACTTTTTTTTCAGATGCTTTTTTCTCTTTAGAACAAAAATATAATACAGTTTTTAAAGACACATGCATTTCTGAGTTGTCCCAAGATCACATTTGACATTAATTAAAACACATTTCATTTCAAATTGTTTTGAAATGTTTTTAAACTTCTAAAATAATTTCAATAGAAATATTGATTTATAAAAGAAATTGTTGTAGTCCTTGTACTGTTTAAAAGTGGTAATATCATTGATTGGGTCAGATGTTAAAGTGGCAGTGTAGCAGTTCAAAATCTTGCCTCAGTATTGTTAGGAGAGTCACAATGGAAACTGCAGAGAGGAAATACGTTCCTAAGAACCAAATTAAATCTAGAGCAGCAGCTTATGAATCCACATGGAAGGATTATCCCATGAAGACAATACGTGAATGTGGCTTTTGCAAAGGATTAAGTATACTGTAATTTAAGCTTGTGCTCTCTACTCCGCTTTCAATGGAATTATTTAAGCTCTTTTAGTGACATTTGTCCTTTCCCACTTAAAAACTAAAATGTAGTATATGTTGTATAAAATGAAAATATCGTTATAGCTTAATTAGGAAACTGTACATAGGCATTGAAAAAAGGGTTTAAAAAAAGCAGTTTTATTATGCAATTGTAAAACACCAAAAATATAGATTCATGTTTGATATGTAACACACTAAATGTATTTTGTACAGCATCTGGTTTAAAAGGTGCCTTAAGTTTACCATTAATTGCTTTGTTCTATTTTCAGATTATGTCCTATGTATCATTTTTAAGTAAATAACCTTATTTTAGTATACTTTAGTGATGTGTTTTGTGATATTGCTCTTGGATTGTATTGTTTATCAGTCATCTGATTAGTTTATATAACAAATAAGACAGTGTATGTACAGGCTCCTGGGGTGCCCATTTCACCTTCTAAAAACCCAACATGAAATTTGGGTAGATAAGTGACTGCACACTCCTGTGTTTGTATAGAGATGTTACAAGCCTATTCTAGTGAAGGGATTTTTTTCCCCTTTTATAAAAAAGCAAAACATTGTTTTCTAATTATAAAAATATGAATGCATAACAGAAATTTGGGGAAGTAGGAAAGAATAAAGAAGCAAATAAAAATTACTCAAATTTTTATTGCCAGACATTACCACTACTTATATTTGAATGTTTTAATCTTTTTGTTTTTTCTACAATATTAAGCTCATAATATCCCATTAAATATTCATTAAATGTAATTTTTTAAAAGAAATGACTATAATATTCCACCAGTTAGTTGGAATAATTTATTTCTTTAGTCAATCACCTGTTGGGTGTGGCCATATATGCATAGTGTTGGAGATTGAACTCAGGGCCAGGCACTCTCCCTCTGAGCTACACTTCCAGCCCTTTTAAAATTTTTATTCTGACTGGTCATGGTGATACATGCCTACAGTCCCATTGAGTAGAGAGGCTGAGGCAGGAGGATTGCAAGTTCGAGGGCAGCCTCAGCAACTTAGACCCTATGTCAAAATAAAACATAAAAAGGGTTGGGGAATATAGCTCAATGGCAAAACATCCCTGCATTCAATTCCCTGTACCAAAAGAAAAAAAAAAAATGTTGGATTCTGTCTTCTCCCACCTTCCATTGAAGCTTGCTGACTTCCAGGGATATGTTCTGTTGTGTGTGAACTCTGCCCATCAGTGTGCCTTCTGGTGTCTTGTCTTAGGGAACTCAACTTGTGGAATAACCAAAAAATATTGAGCACTGAACCAGGTGTGGTAGCCAACTCCTGTAATCCCAGCTACTCCCAGCTCTTGGGTAGGCTGAGGCAGGAGAATTAAGCTCAAGGCCAGCCTGTGCAACTTAGCAAGACCTTATTTCAAAATATAAAAAGGGTTGGGGTTGTAGCTCAGTGGTTAAAAAAAGATTTGGCATTGGTTGATGTCTCTCAAAAGAAAAGCATGTTTGGAGATAGCTTATTACAAATTCCTTACACAAGTCCCTATTTAGTGTTTGTTTCTTAAAATGAGCATACACTCTAATGCCCTATGCCAAAATGACATTATCCCAGGAATTTTAGATACTTGGTAGTTTTCTTTCCATTGATAGAGATACTGACCTGAAAACAGTAAATTTGTCTTTTCTTCTCAGTATAAGCTGTGGTACTCATTGCTCAATTGGAAGAAATTACTTCCAAGTCTTCCTTAATAGTATTCATAGACCTTAGGAAACAGCAGTGTTTAGTCCTTGTAGATAATTTCAAGCAGACACTTTTTGAGTCTTCATCTACTTGGATACCTGCTAATGTAGTGCGTTGACATTTCTGGTGTGGTGTGTTTTACTAATTAAGGTGCGTGTTCCTAAAATGCCTTGTTTTAGCTCTGAGGCCATCCATATAGCCTGATGGGGTGGGCACTGCCCAAGGAATGTGTCCAGTCAGCAGTGTGGGTGAGATCACCTGACGTCATGGCATGTCAATCGTGAGCACAGGGTAAGAGCAGAAAGAGGCAAGTAACCCTGATGCTGGGTATTAGAGACCCAACGAGTTGAAGTGCAAAGGTACATACAAAAAATATTTTGGACAAAAGTAGGGACTGGAGCTGAAATGTTTAGAATTGTCCTTTGGGGTAGGAATTTGTATTTTCATTTTTAAATGAAGTATGTGTGATCTACCTATTCCTCTGAATTTTATCAGCTCTCTGGTCATTGTCCAGTACCTTTCACTCTTAGTCATCCATGCATTCTCAGACCATGAAATCCAAGGTGATTCCAGGGCTCCCAAGTGTCCCTACACCCACCTCACTCATCCTAAACTTCATGTGGGGACTTGAACTCCCAAAGTGTTACCATTATCTAAAAGTCACATAGAATA